GGGGCACCATCAAATCTATCATAACCAAATGGAAAGAACATGGCGCAACAGCAAACCTGCCAAGAGACGGCCGCCCGCCAAAACTCACGGTCCGGGCAAGGAGGGCATTAATCAGAGAGGCAGCACAGAGACCTAAGGTAACCCTGGAGGAGCTGCAGAGTTTCACAGCAGAGACTGAAGTATCTGTACATAGAACGACAATAAGCCATACGCTCCATAGAGTTGGGCTTTATGTCAGAGTGGCCAGAAGAAAGCCATTAATTTCAGCACATAGGACGACAATAAGCCGTATGCTCCATAGAGTTGGGCTTTATGGCAGAGTGGCCAGAAGAAAGCCATTCATTTCAGCAAAAAATAAAATGGCACATTTTGAGTTTGCGAAAAGGCATGTGGGAGACTCCCAAAATGTATAGAGGAAGGTGCTCTGGTCTGATGAGACTAAATTTAACTTTTCGACCATCAAAGAAAACGCTATGTCTGGCGCAAACCCAACACATCACATCACCCAAAGAACACCATTCCCACAGTGAAACATGATGATGGCACCATCATGCTGTGGGGATGTTTTTCAGCAGCTGGGACTGGGACTCGGAAACAGAGGTTCACTTTCCAGCAGGATATTGACCCCAAACACACTGCTAAAGCAACACTTGAGTGGTTTAAGGGGAAACATGTAAATGTGTTGGAATGGCCTAGTCAAAGCCCAGACCTCAATCCAATAGAAAATCTGTGTTCAGACTTAAAGATTGCTGTTCACAAGTGCAAACCATCCAACTTGAAGGAGCTGGAGCAGTTTTGCAAGGAGGAATGGGCAACATTCCCAGTGGTAAGATGTGGCAAGCTCATAGAGACTTATCCAAAGCGACTTGGAGCTGTGATTGCTGCAAAAGGTAGCTCTACAAAGTATTGACTTTAGGGGGGTGAATAGTTATGCACATTTACTTTTTCTGTTATTTTGTCCTATTTGTTGTTTGCTTCACAATAAAAAAAAAAATTAAAAAAAATCTTCAAAATTGTGTGCATGTTCTGTAAATTAAATGATGCAAATGCCAAGGGGTGAATACTTTTGCAAGGCACTGTGTATATATATATATATATATATATATATATATATATATACACAGGGAGTGCAGAATTATTAGGCAAGTTGTATTTTTGAGGATTAATTTTATTATTGAACAACAACCATGTTCTCAATGAACCCAAAAAACTCATTAATATCAAAGCTGAATATTTTTGGAAGTAGTTTTTAGTTTGTTTTTAGTTATAGCTATGTTAGGGGGATATCTGTGTGTGCAGGTGACTATTACTGTGCATAATTATTAGGCAACTTAACAAAAAACAAATATATACCCATTTCAATTATTTATTATTACCAGTGAAACCAATATAACATCTCAACATTCACAAATATACATTTCTGACATTCAAAAACAAAACAAAAACAAATCAGTGACCAATATAGCCACCTTTCTTTGCAAGGACACTCAAAAGCCTGCCATCCATGGATTCTGTCAGTGTTTTGATCTGTTCACCATCAACATTGCGTGCAGCAGCAACCACAGCCTCCCAGACACTGTTCAGAGAGGTGTACTGTTTTCCCTCCTTGTAAATCTCACATTTGATGATGGACCACAGGTTCTCAATGGGGTTCAGATCAGGTGAACAAGGAGGCCATGTCATTAGATTTTCTTCTTTTATACCCTTTCTTGCCAGCCACGCTGTGGAGTACTTGGACGCGTGTGATGGAGCATTGTCCTACATGAAAATCATGTTTTTCTTGAAGGATGCAGACTTCTTCCTGTACCACTGCTTGAAGAAGGTGTCTTCCAGGAACTGGCAGTAGGACTGGGAGTTGAGCTTGACTCCATCCTCAACCCGAAAAGGCCCCACAAGCTCATCTTTGATGATACCAGCCCAAACCAGTACTCCACCTCCACCTTGCTGGCGTCTGAGTCGGACTGGAGCTCTCTGCCCTTTACCAATCCAGCCACGGGCCCATCCATCTGGCCCATCAAGACTCACTCTCATTTCATCAGTCCATAAAACCTTAGAAAAATCAGTCTTGAGATATTTCTTGGCCCAGTCTTGACGTTTCAGCTTGTGTGTCTTGTTCAGTGGTGGTCGTCTTTCAGCCTTTCTTACCTTGGCCATGTCTCTGAGTATTGCACACCTTGTGCTTTTGGGCACTCCAGTGATGTTGCAGCTCTGAAATATGGCCAAACTGGTGGCAAGTGGCATCGTGGCAGCTGCACGCTTGACTTTTCTCAGTTCATGGGCAGTTATTTTGCGCCTTGGTTTTTCCACACGCTTCTTGCGACCCTGTTGACTATTTTGAATGAAACGCTTGATTGTTCGATGATCACGCTTCAGAAGCTTTGCAATTTTAAGAGTGCTGCATCCCTCTGCAAGATATCTCACTATTTTTGACTTTTCTGAGCCTGTCAAGTCCTTCTTTTGACCCATTTTGCCAAAGGAAAGGAAGTTGCCTAATAATTATGCACACCTGATATAGGGTGTTGATGTCATTAGACCACACCCCTTCTCATTACAGAGATGCACATCACCTAATATGCTTAATTGGTAGTAGGCTTTCGAGCCTATACAGCTTGGAGTAAGACAACATGCATAAAGAGGATGATGTGGTCAAAATACTCATTTGCCTAATAATTATGCACTCCCTGTATAAAAGACACCTGTGAGCCAGAAGTCTTGCTGATTGATAGGGGACCAAATACTTTCACTCATTGACATAAAAATATATTTATAACTTTTTTTGACATGTGTTTTTCAGGATTTTTTTTAAATGTTATTCTGTCTCTCACTGTTAAAATACATCTACCATTAAAATTATAGACTGATCATTTCTTTGTCAGTGGACAAATTTTCAAAATCAGCAGGGGATCAAATACTTTTTTCCCTCACTGAACCTATACAAACCCTCTACCTTGTTTCTTCTAAGTTTATTCTTGACAGTTCTGAGAAAGACGTTTCTGTTCTTCCTTTGTCCTCTCCCACACTATCTGAATTTACCCAATTACAATCCATTATTATTATTATTACTGGTATTTATAAAGCACCAACAGATTCCGCAGCGCTGTACAATTAGTGGAAAACGTACAATATACACAGACAAATACAAGAGGTAGAGAGGGCCCTGCCCGTAAGCTGATATCCAGCCATTGGGGCTCTTTATACAAAGTGCTTAGCTAGATGGCCCGTGAGCTAATCCATGTACTTATCTCTCTTTTTCCATCTCTTACTAACATATAAAAAATTTCTTTGTCTTCTGGAATATCTACTTTTGCTTCAAATATGTAACAATCACTTCCATTATAAAAAACCCACCAATTCATCCAATTTTTTTCTTTAGCTAACTACCTATCCATTTCACAAATCTTTCACCTCCAAGTTTCTTGAATGAGATGTGCGTGACGGACCAACTTATTTGATTAATTGAAGCTGTTACTATGTGATTGCAAGCTGCATGAATGCAACTTGGCTGCATAATGAATCTCCACCTAAGTACAACTGCATATAACTGCCTTAAGCGGTATCAACTTAATAACAATGTTGCTCAGTAGTCCCCTCAGGGGAAGAGAACCTTTTGTGCAGAAGTAATTTTGGTGGGTGGCAAGGGAACAAGAATGTGGCATGTTGGCTTCATTAGAAAGTGACCTTGAGTGATAGTAGTAATTTATTCTATGTTGAGATTTCAGGGAATGTAAACTGAAATATGTGGTATGAGGCTGATTTGTGGCCAATGAGCCATCTCGACTAGTGAGCAGTAATAGGAGTAAGTGATGACAAATGAATACATGTTTAAGTTAATGGTTAATTAGCATTAGTGGAATGTATTCCAAGTCCTGATATTGCTTCTACTTTTGTTTGCAACTCAGAGCGAGACTAGATGGCTCTGTTAAATTATTTAAAAAATAAGTAAAGAGTTAAAGAACGAATTTGTAGGTAATAGCTTAAAAAGATTTCCACTCTGTGAAAGTGTTCTTTTTAATTTGATCTACCGTATATACTCGAGTATCAGACGAGTTTTTCAGCACATTTTTTGTCCTGAAAACCCCCCACTCGACTTATACTCGAGTCAGTGTCTGTATTATGGCAACTTACATTGCCATAATACAGACCAGGACCGCCGGGCTCATTACAAGCCTGGCGGTCCTGTTGGGGGCTGGCAGAGAGTTGTTACTTACCTTTCCTGCAGCTCCTGTCAGCTCCCTTCTCTCTCCCCTGGTCCGGTCAGCTCCCCTGTCAGCTCCACTGCAAGTCTCGCAAGAGCAGCAGGGTCAGAGCGTTGCCACGGTTACCGTGGCAACCCTCCGCGCGGCACTCGGACCGCGAGACTTACAGTGGAGGAGAAGGGAGCTGACCGGACCGGAGAAGAGAGAAGGGAGCTGACAGGAAATGCAGGAAAGGTAAGTAACAACTCTCTGCCAGCCCCCCTCCTACACAGCCCATGCCACTGGACCACCAGGGGATGAGAGCCCCCCTCCCTGGCCAGCTAACAAGCAGGGAGGTGGGATGAAAAAAAAAAATCTTCTGGGAGAAGCTCCAGCGGCGTGCACAGCGCACCAAGACAAAGCGACAGGATCCCATGGACCCAAGAGAGGGGAGCTATGGGCAGCCGGGCGAGAGGGGGACTCCCTCAGGCGCAACACGAGACCAAAAGCTGACACTCACTCACCCCGGCCCACCCGGGCTGCAGGCCAAGAGGGCCCTGACCCGAAGGCGTCGGCCACATAGGCGGAAACACAAGCGGCAATCAACCTACAGACCTCCCGCCACCCCCATGAGGGGGAGACACTCGGGCAACGTATGCCACCGAGTCTCAGGCCAGAAGACGCAGGCCTGCACACCAGCTTGGGGCAAGAGGGACACCCCCACCACCGGCCGAGCATCAGCACCTCCTCTGGACCAGCCGGAGAGCCTCAGCCGCATTCCCACAGAAGGAATAGGATAAATGGTGACTCACCACAAACTCTCTTATGACCCGCATACGCTACCCCATGGGTCCAGATGCAAGTGCCGGTGCCGGTGACCGCTGCATAATAGTTTGATTTCATGTGCTGACAAATGCTTTTTGCCAACCATTGTATACCTTACTTACGCTTGTTAATATTAGCCTTCCATTAGTTAAGCATAGGGCGCTAGATGTTTAATCTTATCACTGAAGAATCACACAGTTAATGATATTGCATCAGCATGAATAGACCTTGAGATTAGTGATCTTATGTTCGTTACACTCATAGTAAACCACGAAAGACAGAATGTTACTCAGATTTAATGCCTAGTCAGCTTGTTATGTAACGATAACTTCCAAGCAACTTACTGTATAACTGTGCCTATGCCCTGATAAAACTGGGCATCTACTGCTAAATGGTGATTTTTGTATTGCACCGAGTGCTCAAGGCCTAGCCTGTAAGCCACGTGAAGCCTAGGAGTACTGCTTTATCTGTATAGCTACTGATATATATATGCATGACCTGTACTGTTCTCAGCCTAGGTCTTTCGGCAAGCAACATAGAAATACTCCTAGTTATGTCACATCCTCATATAAAATTATTCTGAACTAGCTATTTTAACTTCTTACAGCTTAAAGTATGATTAACTAAGCATGTTTATATTAAAAATTGTGCTTGATAGACATATGTCCCGCATGTAAAGCGGAGGAATGGCCTGAGGATTGCTTTTGGGGCACCTCAAGCCTGCCTGTATCAAAATAATAATAATATTAAAATAATAATAATAATTTAAAAAAAATAAAAAAATGCCCACCCCCACCAAGGCTCTGCATCACACACACACACTGCACTCATACACACACACACTGCACTCACACACGCACACACACACACACACACACACACTGCACTCACACACACACACACTGCACTCATACCCACACACTGCACTCATACCCACACACTGCATTATATACACACACACTGCATTCATACACACACACACTGCACTCATACACACACACTGCATTATACACACACACACACACACACACACACACTGCATTCATTATATACACACACTGTAAATAAATATTCAATTAATATATTTTTTCTTTGTAGATTGGAAGACTGTAATTTGACATCAATCTGTTGTGAAGATTTTTACTCTGTTTTTATTACAAACCGATCCCTGATCAATTTGGACCTGTCAGAGAATAAACTGAATGACTCAGGTGTAAAACTTTTATGTGAAGGTCTAAAGCATCCAGGCTGTACAATACAGGAGCTGAGGTAAGAACAATGTTATTTCATGGTTTTATCCCCTTGATGTCAGGGCATTAGCATTTGAGGTAGTCATGCTATCATTTGATTTCTTAAGTGCGTCAACTAATATCTTCTCCCCAACTCAGAAAATTGGGAAATATAGACTTTTATACTATATAGATGTTATTTTCCATAAAATGCCAGAAGATCAATTTTGCATGACATGTGTACAATAATGTTTGCTAGTTTGGTTGCTATCCCTCATGCTGCCATTCCTATTGCTTTTTTTATACCCCACCATCAACGTATTCTTCCTGTAACATTTTGTAATTGTCTAATATATTCTTAAATTCCACCCTTTATATATATATATATATATATATATATTATAAAGGTGGAAATTTAATAATAATAAGTTAGCACTATATAAATGTCAATAATAATAATAGTACTATGTTATTTTAGTAAGTACTTGATCAAGCTAGTAATTGCATTTTTAGGGAGATACAAAATATGTAGATCAGAAGCTTAAGGACCATAAGGATCCTGCATACTATAATGAAAATGGGTTGTCAGAATTTTTAGGATTAGGATTTTTTTACATTTAGATAGCATTTTACAGACTGCAAGGAGGACTTGGGGGCCACACAGGGGGCAATCCATGCCACCACTGCCCATCTGTAGCCAGCATGCTATGGGTGCTGACAACAAATGCCCAACATGCACAGTCCGGAACTCTAGGATGTGGAGTTATACCTCTGCCAACAATGTGCATTTTGTTGCTGTGATGTCATGGGAGATAGCTTGATCAGCGCTGGCAAAAAGGTGAGTAAAACCCATTTTATATTTTGATTTGGGGGGAAACTAAAATGGAACTCAAGGGAGGAAGTCTCACCACACTATCCTTAATTGAGTTGCAATCAGAAGGTAAAGCAATGAAACAAACACAAATAAGATTCTGATCAGGTCTCCATATTTCAAATCGCAACCTACTAGCCAGAATTAAAAGTGACTCTCCTTAACAAACTATGTAACAAAGTCTTACATTTATTTCTGGTCCCCTTCTACCACATGACAAATGATGTCTGGAGAAATGGTTTCAGTAAAACATCACTTTCCCTTTTTCCTAAATTTCACTGACCGTCTTATTTCCTGTTATTTTCCCTTTGCTTCTAATTCCCACTGTCTCTGTCTGTCATTGTCCTTTGATTCTCGCTTTCTACATTGCTCTAATTATCAATTATCCCTGTCATTGTCCCCCATCCTCCTTATGATCATCCTCATTCCTCACTGTTATGGTCCCTATCAATTGTCCATGTCATTGACCCCCATCCTCCTTATGATTATCCTCCTTTCTCACTGTTATGGTCCCTATTTCATTCTTTATATATGTGTGTGTTTGTGTTTGTTTGTTTATGAGGCCTCACTTCCTGTCTCTGTCAATATTTGGCCTCATTTGGGGGCATCACTCTTGCAGACTAGTGTGAGCTGCATGAGGTTCTTGCTGTACAAATGAATATAATTGTTCTCTAGAACAATTAGTCCAGCGCCTTTGAGTTCTGTTAATGTCTTTCATATTTGCAGGTTGCGGAAATGTGATCTCACCTTATCTTGCTGTGAGGATCTGAAGTCTGTTATTGTTCATAACCTGTCATTGAAAAACCTGGACCTATCCAGTAATGATATAGAGGATTTGGGAGTAAAACATCTGTGTGAAGGTCTTCAACACCCTGGCTGCATTCTACAGGAGCTTAGGTAAGAATTATACTGTCACACATCGTGTAATATTTTGGGGTGTGGCTGTGACTAAACCTTGGGCTCCGAGTCTGACTGTTGCTTACATTGGTCGGTCAAGAGTGACAGTGAGTGGGGAAACAAGTATGAACTTCCACCCAAATATATATTCTTAACTTTACCAAAATCTATCAATCTTACACTTGGAGGATGCAGCTGAAGACAAATTAAGATCTTTTTTTTTAGTGTAATGGCAACATGGAAAAGATCGTTGTAATCCTTGTGAGATATCCTTGTATTGTCAAAATTGTAAATGGTTTTCCAGTAATGGGATAGTTAAACTCAACATGGCATTTAACCCCTTCCCGGCCACGGACGTACTGGTATATCCAACAAAAAACGGTCGTTAATGAGGTCCATGGCAAAAATCACCCCTGGACTTACCTGGACCAGCGATCTGCAGCAATCCGGGTCGGGGGGATCTGCCCGGGACCCCAGCAGTCCCCCTGCAGCAGCTCCATCCACCATGATCACATGGCCGCAATAGCAGTCTATGGAGCTGCCAGCAGGGGGACTGTCTGAGCTATCAGGCAGTCCACCAGCCATCTAAAAAGTAAAAAAAAAATTATTAAATGGAGTAATAAAAATAATATTTTATACAAATATTATATATGTATAATATATTATAAAATAATTAAAGCATTTTGTAATATATAATACATATATAATGCATATACATGATTGCATTATAAGTGTACTTTGAGATATATACACATATATCTCAAAATACACTTATAATGTAATCATATATATGCATTATATATATATATAATATATTATAAAATGTTTTAATTATTTTGTAATATATTATATATATTTGTGCTCGGAATAGGTTATGGATTGTATAAGAAGATGCATAGTTTGTTGAGGTGTGCTGAAACCAACGAACGAGTAGGCCTGTAATAAAAGAGGGCCCACAAAGGTGATAATGTAATATTTGATGGGTGGAGGTGGGTGGGGTCAATCAGCTTGAACAGCAGAGGTGAGTAGGGGCTGGGAGTTTAAGTAGGGGCCATAACTCCTCCCACAAATTCAGGCCTGATTGCTGTGGTTTGTTTTAGTAGAAAGTAATAAAAGGACGTGGTGGTCATCGACTTTCTTTAGGTGAGACAACTTTAGTCTTGGAGTGGTATCTACTTGGCATACAACAGTAAACTCTCTAGGTCTAAGGAAGCCATAGAAAGCGATAAAAATGGCAGCTTTGATAACATAGTTTGTATGGTAATCGAAAGGGGATTTGTCTAGTAGGTCGCTGAGAAGTCTAAAAATAGGCCCGTCGAAGGGAAGTCTGCTAGTTGCAGGGGGAACTGTTACTTTATGAATACCTTTAAAGAAGTTCTTAATAGGGTATGATGCAAGAAAAGCTGCGTGATTAGGAAAGTTAGTGAGAACGTGGTGCTGTACCCAGTTGAGGTAAAGCTTAATGGTGTTGTGAGATAATTTTAGGTGTAAGTGACAGAAGGAGGCAAAAGCCACCATGGTTTTAATAGAGAAATCTCCTTGTAAGTGAAACTCTGCAGAGAACTTATTGAAAATGGTTAGTGCCCTAGCGTAAGTGGTAAGGGTGTTGGGTGAGAGTGCGTGGTGCGTGAGTGCTTGAGCATGGAGTAGTAGTTCAGTCAGTCCATTAGTAACTTGTGAAAAGGTGGTATCCTGGATGGTAGGTGGAGGGCAGTAGGGAGTGCCTGGAAGAACACCTGAAAATGAGAGCGGGAAAGAGAATCCGCAGCTATGTTACGAATACTAGGAATGTGTTCGCAGACAAGGTGAAACTGAGCAGTTGCTGCTAGCCAAGTCAGATTGCATACCAAACTTATGATGGTTAGAGAGGAGGACCACCCCTTGTTTATAATTTCGCAGGCTGCCGAATTGTCAGAGCAGCATTTGACTGCCTTGCCGGTCCATAGATGACCCCATGTATGAGCAGCCGCCACAATGGGGTAAATCTCGAACAAGGAGAACGTTTCCCTAGAAGCCGGCAAGGCATCCGTCTCAGTGGGCCAGTTATCCCTAAACCAGTGGTTGCCGAATATAGCCGCAAACCCAATGTGTGCTGCTGCATCTGTGTAAATTGTAGGGGAATGATCGGATAGCGGGGGAATGAACAGGGAGACTCCGTTCCACTTGGCCAAGAAGTTCCTCCACATGTGCAAATCTTGGCAGGAGTCGGGCACCCCATGGAGTAGACACAGTAGCCTAGAGACGAATGATCTGTCCTGCGGAATGATCCGCATCGCAAAGTTAAGGGACCCCAATAAGGACTGGAGTCCCTTTCTGGTGCACATATCACTCCGCAGGAACAGACTGATTTCGTCTCTAATGCGGGTCAATTTCTCTGGTGGTAGGCTGGCTTGAAATGTCTGTAAATGCTTCTAGGTGCAGGGAAGCCGGGTTCTATCAACAAAAAATCATCTAAGTAGTGAATCACAGACAGACACCTGACTATGTTGAGGAGCAGCCAGCAGAGTGTTTCCGTGAATATGTAAAAAAGCTTAGGGCTGCTCCTAGACCCAAAGGTGAGCCGGGTAGAAAAATAGTACCTGTCCCGCCATTTAACACCGTGTAAGTGCCATGGTGAATGGGTAAAAGCTTGAAGGCATTTGTGATGTCGGTTTTGCTTAGCCATGCCTTGCTGATAGCTTGCCTAAGATGATAGCTTGCATAGCATCATCAATTTTAGCTTATTGTATTGTAATTTGTGATGTCGGTTTTGCTTAGCCATGCCTTGCTGATAGCTTGCCTAAGATGATAGCTTGCATAGCATCATCAATTTTAGCTTATTGTAATGAAAACTCCTAAGCGGGTATGAGAGTGTTTATGCTGGTGGTGTGCGAAGAATGATGCGCTGAAATATCAATAATCAATCTTTTTTTATTTGAATATTTATGTACAGCTACCCCGATAGGGTTTGCATGCCAGCATGAGAAGGGGGGTACTGCAAATGGGCCAATAAAGAAAACCTGTCTGAGTTTCTGTGGACAAGAGGTGGTCCACCGTGAGAGGGTCGTTAGAGGCTGATAGCAGGTTTGGGCATTCGAGTGTGCCTGTGGGAATGGCAATGAGGCCCATGTGAAAATCCCGACACCAAAAATTCCACTAAATGCCTGGCTGGGTGGGAACAGAGGTAGTAGGCTACGACATCTATATTGACCTCGGTCAGTCATTTCTTTGGGGAAAGTCTGGCTGGGCACATGGCCTTGGTATGCGATCTGAAACAAATGGAGCAGACATGCAACAACCTGCATTCGCTGAAGCTGCATGCGCCAGCGTTAAAATTGTTGCACACCTGCGCCTTGCCCAGAAACGCAATGGGTCTGCCCAGCTTTTCCCTCTGCCCGCCTTCTTGCCTAGTATGTGAGGTGGAGTGGTGAGAAGAGGAAGGGTCTGCCTTGCAAGGGCACAAATCTGTGGAGTGGGACGTAGAGCTACAAGTGGCACAGGACGGGGGCCTCAATCCGGCAAAGTGTCGGCAGAACAACTCCGTGTCCATCTGGCACCAGTCAATTCTGATGTTAAATTGGGCCAGATGAGTTGCTGTCTTAGCCGACATGGACTAGTGGTAATCGAAAAAAGAGGACTCCCTGTACTTGATGCCCTGGTCCTCCACTTTGTGCATGTATAGATCAAGCTCCTCCCTCCTATGCGGATACACAGAACAAATAACATCTCTATATATCCCGAAAGCAATAACAAATTGTGGGATATATAGTTTTTTGTTTAGTCATGGGTCTCTAGTTTTTAACACCACAGAGATGTCCCCATAGTTATATGCTCAGTTTTCTAGAACATCCTGCGAGGCGATGAGGAAGGAAACTAAGTTAACATCCTTCTCATCCAGTATTTCTTTTTTTGATGGATGCTGAGACGGAGTGAGCTGGTAAGACATATTGGGTAGTGGTGGTGGGTAGGGAGGGGGGTGCCACTAGGCAGGTTAGGGATTACCAGGGGAGGACCTGAAGAGCCTGGTAGGTCACCTGGGGTGGCAATGGCTGACAGGGTTTCCTGCGTAGCTTCTGAGGTGCTGGTAACCCTCCCTTGCGAGCTAGTGCCAGGCCTAGGGTCGCTGGCCTGAGCTGTCAATAGTCTATAAAGCTCTGCCTTCGTAGCAGTGGCTGGAAAAGGGATGCCCCTGAGTCTTAGCTCTGCCAACATTTTGGGGATAGTCCATGATCTCAGGGACCTGGGGGTAGAGGGGGTGAGGGATACTTCTGGGGACCCAGGCCTGGCTGGCGTGCTGGGTAGGTCATCAATAGGAATGAATTCTTGTGACATTCTGAAAAAGGAATAATGAATTAATATAGCAGAGGGGAGGGAAGGAAGAACAAGACCTTCACAGAACTTGCTTGCTGACTAGTGCCGAGGCGAAGAACTTAACTATAGCCAAGTGACGGGTGAGGCCCTGCTAATGCCAAGTGGCGGAGAGAGGCTCTACCTATCATTTGGACCGAAGGAATTTGTTGGCCTATCAATGACAATAAAAGATTCAATATAAGCTATTAACCAACAATATAAGCTATTAACCATGCAAAACTATGTTGTAGTGGTGAGGAACTGGCTTCATTTTGGGATAGCCTTAAGAGTATGGGCTTAGGTAAGGAAATATTCACGTTAGATTATTTACACTGTCATAAGTGTTGTTTCCTATATGCTTAGCTGTCAGGGGATTGATCCGGTATATCGCTTAGACTGAGATGACCTTCACCACATCACACGGGCCTCCAGTGGACACATAGGGTATGGCAGGCCATGATTTGCAAAGTAGGAAATGTAACAATAAGAGGAAAAGAGACTGTACTTGTGCCTATCAAACAAGAGCAACAGGTGAGGAGCAAGGCCCTTGATAGTCTAGGTATGAGTTTGAGGGAAGTGAGTCAACATAATGGATTAGAGTTTAGACAGATGAGTCACTATATGGGAAAGCCAAAGTCTTCCTTCTGGAGTCTCCTGTTCTCCTCCATCAGGATTATAGTTGATCCAGCATGCAGAAATGTTTCACATCTATGACTAAGGGTAAAGTCTAACCGGACCTTAGAATGGCCGGACTTAACCAAAGAATAGTCAATAAACTAGCCGAGGTCAGGGACACAGAATGGGACACGGCGATAAGGGAAAGCCAATAATCAAGGATACCAGAAGTCAGGGAGGTCAAAACAAAGCCAAAGTCAATAACCAGAAACACACGATCAGGAACGCACTCTTGGATAACCATCTAAGGAAACCACGACAGGGCATTGAGGACAAGTAAAAATTAGTTTAAATAAGCCTCCTTTAGATCTGATTGGCCGTAATCGGCCTTTGACCCCAGAACGTGCGTGCGCATCTTTTGCATGATGTCACACGCACGTTGACGTTGTCAATACCGTGGGCGGACGTGGGGCTATAAAATGGTGTGGATTCGCCGCTGAGTGGCACCTCCGTCAATGCCAGGAATTTATTATGAATGAAGCTTATAATTATGTTAATTTTGTAATAAATGGAGTCCCGTTATTGTGTTCATCTCCCCTTTCTCCAGGTTGGATTCTTGTCTTCTAACCTCATCATGCTGTGAGATTTTCCATTCTGTCCTTGTTATCAATCGATCCTTGACCGAACTGGATTTGTCGTGGAATGATCTACAGGACTCAGGAGTAAAACATTTGTGTGATGGTCTCAAGAATCAAGGATGTGTGCTGAAACAGTTGATGTGAGAACAAAACAATTATTTGTATCAGAATAAGTGGCAACAATGATCCTGCTTTCCCAGCAGTCCATGCAAGCCATGCATAGAACATTGACAGTTAGAGCCACAAAGGGGTTGGTGTAGTTTAATTGTTTTCTTAAAGGGACACTGTAGTCACTATAACCACTTTGTCTCTTTGAGTTGGTTATAGTGCCTGGAGTGCCCTGGCACTGTCCCTCCATTCAGTGTTGCACCATGTTTGTGCAGTATGCCACAAAATAAGAGTCCCTGGCCATCCACAGTCTGGCCCCTTCTGTATGTGTAGCTAAAGCAGAGATTACACACTTCCTTGTTGTCATACCCATTCATACCGTCAGTTGGAGCTCTGACAGGTTAAAAGCAGTCAGCTGACACTTTCAGTCAATCACAGCTGCACATTGCCTCTCAGGGTAATACTTCCTTATTAGCCAAAGCAGCACAGAGGGGATGGACTGCCGTGGTCTCTTGTTTAGCATTAAAACATTACAACATTAAAAAAAAAAATGATGGCACCAGGGGACTCCATACACTATAACCAGCTTAATGAGATGAAGCAGATACAGTGCCTACGGTGTCCCTTTAAAGGAAGCTTAGTGCTACTCCTCCTGTGACAAGCAGTTGCCTGGCCTCCAGGCACTGTACTGGTCTCTGCCTAACACAATGTCTCAGAAGCAAACATGTCCCCAAGTTTATATAAAATAATTCTCCTCAATCAGAATCCAGAACAGCGTAAGATTTTATTCCTAGCATCACACCAACAAAGCATTCATTTGAATTTCATTAAATCTGAATTGCAAGTAACAGATCACATTGTATAATATTGTGTATATTTTTGCAGCTTAGAAGATTGTGGTTTGACATCCAACTCTTGTGAGGATTTACACTCTGTTATTATAACTAACCAGTCTATGACTAAGCTTAGCCTGGCTGCGAATGAATTCAAGAAAGCAGGGATACATCTTCTTCGTCAGGGTCTCAGACATCCAAATTGTACCCTGCAAGAGCTGAGGTAGGAACTACAATATATAGTTTATAAAGTCCGCCTTTCAAACTAAGTCATGTAAAATATATTAAAGATATTAAATCCTACTTACATTTAACTATTTAAAATACTGAGTAAAAATGATTTAAAGGAGCACTTCACACACATAAAGCACTTTAGCTTGCTGAAGTACTTTATATGTAAAGAGCGCTTCCTCTTTTTCATTTTACAAGTATAGATTTCAATAGAAATTGTCACTTTTATGAATTAAACTTGTTACACCTCACTGACTGTCAATCAGACAATCGGTTCTGTTATTTCCTGGTTGCTTAGCTCAGTTGAGCGTAAATCAAGAGTGCAAAGATTTCTCGTCAAACTGCATTGGTAAGCCTGTAATTGGACAGGTGAGGGCTTGCAAAGATTACAGACAGCAGATCTGCAGCTTTTTCAAGCTATTTTTTTTTTAGAGATACCCCCAATAAAAAAAATGCATAATTTCATGCATGCATGCATGGCACGGTCGGTATATCTTTTAAATGGTATTTTGTTCTTTAAATTTGTGTAGTGGAGTGTCACTTTAAAGTGGTTAATAATTTTAGCAAAATTATATCCTCATGCTTGTTGTTTTTAATGGTATATTTGTAACATCTACTCTTTAAAATGCTGTGAGAAATAAACATAAGGATGTATTCTCTAAACAGTGAAATTTAAAGGGACACTATAGTCACCAAAACAAGCTCAATGAAGCAGTTTTGGTGTATAGATAATGTCTCTGAAGTTACACTGCTCAGTTCACTGCCATTTGGGGGTTAAACCACTTGTTTATGTGTGTGCAGCCATAGCCACACCTTATATATGCAAAAAATAGGGGATGATCTGCTAAGCCAATAACAAACAGAAAAACATAGCGTATAACTGTGTATATTAATAAACCACACGTGTTGTATTCACAAATGGCCACTCACACATTCACTGAAGTTAAAGTGCCTTTAGTATAAATTCCCTCCAAGGATTCAATCTTCACTCTGTATTCAAATCACCATGGGTTGGCTGGAGTGTATGAACTCAATAGAGAAAAATAAAATTGTAGTGCACAATCAAATGTATAATAAAAACTCAATTTAATCACTTACATCAAAGTTAAAGGCAATGGGTGTAGTATTTCTGAGTCACTACCAGGGGTCTGACGCCTTTCGTCCGTGCATAGGACTTTCTCAGGGACTTTGGTAGTGTGCATTAAACCGTTACTGCACACTACCAAAGTCCCTGAGAAAGTCCTATAAACGGACGAAATGCATCAGACCCCTGGTGGTGACTCAGAAATACTACACCCATTGCTTTTAACTTTGATGTAAGTGATTAGATTGATATTTTATTATACATTTGATTGTGCACTACAATTTTATTTTTCTCTATTGAGTACATACACTCCAGCCAACCCATGGTGATTTGAATACAGAGTGAAGATTGAATCCTTGGAGGAAATTTATACTAAAGGCACTTTAACTTCAGTGAATATGTGAGTGGCCATTTGTGAATACAACACTTGTGGTTTATTCATATACACAGTTATACGCTATGTTTTTCTGTTTGTTATTGGCTTAGCAGATCATCCCGTATTTTTTGCATATATTTAGTGGAAGTCAGGAGAAAGTCTTTGGAGGTACTTTTGGAAGCTTCACCTTGTACGGGGAAGTTTCTGTCTGCTAGTAATTAATTTTGCACTAATTGCACTTTTTTGGTTTGTGCACACACATATTGTGTTTTTCCTAGCTACACCTTCCCTGGCTGTGACTGACATTGCCTGCATGAAAGCAAAGTGGTTTGATTTTCAATCAGATGTAACTTACTTTAAAAGTTTTTAACTTCTGCTCTGTAAATTGAACTTTAATCACATACAGGAGGCTGCTGCAAGGTCTTGCAAGCTATTCACAGAGCAGGGGGATAAGAAATTCTAAATTAAACAGAATTTGCAATAAAGGAAGTGTAAACGTTAGATGACTCTTTACAGGAAGTATTTAGGAATGCTGTGCAAGTCATATCCAGGCATGTGTGTCCAGGGCTACATAAACAAAGTGATTTAACTCCTAAATGGCAGATCATTGAGCGGTGAGACTGCTCATTAAGCTAAAGTTGTTTTGGTGACTACAGTGTCCCATTCATTTAAATTTAAAACTCATATGCAATAAATAAAAAAAATAAAAAAAATTCAGCCTTTCATAGGTTGGCTGTTTATGCCTAGACTTTGCTAATTGTTTTTCAAATTTCCAAAAATTCACTGTTTAGTGACAAATTGAATTACTCAGTTTGAACAACTCACCTATTGACCAGGTGACCAGGACATCCCTTTATAACCTTAACATCTGTACTCCTTCCTTAAAAAAAAAAAAAAAAACAACAACAAAAACATAACTCCTACATAACTTCTTTTTTAAATAAGTATTATGGAAAATGAAGGGTCCCTTCAACAACACACCTTCCATTTATATGTGCCTGCTTTTTTATTAGGCCGCTTATTCTTGTATTGAAAAGTGCATCCCCAGTCAAGTCTCACTTCTGTATGTTATTCAAGATACACAGGCCTTTTTCAAATTTCTTTATTTTTGTTGTGGAGCATGGTTCGAAGATGCCCGCAATGTCACAACAGCATAGTCAAGCACATATGTCAAATACAGTATAGTATAGGCATGGCAGTTGACTTATCAATACATTTTATAAAGACAGCCTTGTTTTTAAATTAAGAGAAAGTAGGAGCAACAAGTTTATACTGTCATGTGTTAAGTGCATCAAATACAGGAAGTTAACTGTCAAAAATAGAGCTTGACTAAGGAAACATAAATGGCATCACAATGTCATACAGTCTGGTGGAGATTAAACAGCATCAGCTAACAGTCGCACAGTATGGAAAACACACTTTGGTAGATGGGTCCGAAAGCCTATACTGTCACAATATTAGTGCAACCAAGAGGACACTTCACATCCCCAGTCAGGTTTTGGTTAGTCCTCAGCTTTAAGAAATCCTTGACTGTATAAGTCAGCTAATATAAATAACAAGTCCACAAATATAACGACAGTGTCAGGTTATAAGTGCACAATATTTAAAAGCTATGCTTGGATAGAAAGGAATAAACATAACAGCTAGGTTACCGCTGATAGATGAACTCAGTAGGAATTTAAAGAGGGAAGCAAAAATCTCTGCATATTTTAACAGTAATGCTGCTGTTTGTAGGCCCGCCACATTCTTCATCTTATTCTGCACGTGGGCCAATGCTCCCAGCACCTCTAGCTCACGCTGTTGGGAACCAAAGCCATTTCTTCTGCCCCACTGGAGGTATCACCAGCCCTTTATGACTTTGGGATATGAAGAGCTCCTTGGGTGTATGGACGGTATGGTTTATCCTACTCCATGAGGGCCTCCGGCCCAGAGGAGGTGAGCTGAAACCAGTTCTGGGTGTCATGATGGTAACTTGCTTCATGGATTCAGGTGATTTACTGCTCAACCGAAGCCAGAACTTCTGACACACCAGGTCGAACCCATGTTTGAAACTTCTGGTTCACTGGGTGCATGGGAAGCTGCAGCTCGGCGTCCATCTTGGATTTTACATTGTGAACCTGAGACTGTTTTCGAAGAAGAGAGGCAAGTTCCTCATCAGGGACCGGAATAACCTCCATCGGTCTGAAGGGGGAAGGAGGGGAGGAGAGTGTGCCCAGAGACCGGTCTCTGCAGATTTCTCGGCCCTAGTCTGGAGATCGACCGCTTCTACCAAACGTCAGGCCGCGGTCTCCTTTAGGCCGGAGCTCCAGATGAGAAGATTGCGTGTCTGAGAAGTGTAATCACCGTATCGTGCTGGGTGCTTTGGGTTTCTTTCAGCTTTATTATTAACTGTTTATTTGGAGTACCAGTTCAGACTTGCAGGAGCTACCTAAAAGTGTGTACCGCCATCTTTTTAATGTGGGCTCTGTTTCAGTCCATATCTGAACTGAACAAGGTGAGTAAGAGCCATGCAGGATCTTCCCCACTCACTCAATGATCTTATCCAGTATTACATTAGGTTTTGGCTTGAGATGCCTAACTTCTTTTTCTCTTTAAATTTTTTTTGTTTTTTTGTTTTTTTTTAAATATGCATCAATAAAAACTCAATTGCATATAATCAAGTGCACTATTCTTCATTAAAGTGTTTGTTTAAACATGCAATAAATGGCACGGTTTATGTAATGTTATACATACTTAAAATATTATTGTTCTGTAGAAGAAATTATAAAACATGAATTAAACTCTTATGTTCTTCAAAAAGAAACAAACAATGATTAATAAATAACATATTACACAAACATATTAAATAATGCATTAAACAAAAAAGGTACAAAAATATTTGTACCACAAAAGAACTAAGACACCTAATGGAGCTGGTTGCAAGCCCAGTGTAGTAGGTGTAAAAGTAGAGCTTTGTAGTGCATTGCTATATTTCAGCTTGAAATCTACATTTGCATACCCTGCTGGAAGGGACTGTACAAAATACATTTTATGAAGTGGAACCATACAATTTCGTCACATACTGTTATTGAAATGGCATTTACAATTGGATTAAATCCGGTACAATGTTTAGAAGAAATGGAATTAGAGCATCCAGAATATATATGGTTGCCAGGTTAGGCAATATGAAACTCCAGATGCAGACTTGTACTATCAAACCAAAAAAGAAATAAAAGTCAACGGCAAACAAATCCTCAAAAGTCGAGGTCAGACAGTCCAGTAGTCAGTATCCAAGCAGCAGAGGGCCAGTAGCGGTAAAACAAGTCAGAGGTCAGGAAAACTTTCAAGTGAATCAGGAATCACAGGTCTAGCATGGATGGAGCACAGAACAACTGAGCAATGACAACTCCGTTGTTCAAGATTTAAATATAGTAGCAAGTGTAACACACCTCCCCAGACATGCTCCCATAGCCTCCTATTGGTGTATGGGTCTGTCTGTCATGCAGGATTGCCATGGGAGATCATTTGTTCCAACTGCGCCTCCTAGGCATGGAATAATCCTGCACGTCTCCCAGGCGTCTATCGCTGCCTGGCAGCTGTGTCGCGACTCAAGGTCGGGGGCTGCGGCCCGCCCCTGGTGTTCGCGCATGCATGCGTTAGTGCAGCCGCGACTCGGGAGTGCCGCTCGAGCAGTAATGAAACGAATGTAAGTCTTGAGAATGGTGCATTTCGCCCTGTGATGGCACAGTGCATATAGCAAAATGCGTCATTAGACGAGCTGGAACCCCACCTCCATGAAGTGTTTTAGTAAACTCTGAGTAGCCATGAACTAGTAACTGTGTTTGGATCTAAAGCTTACCCTGATAGCATTGAGGATAGTAGGGTTTTTTATTACATTGTGTTCCTGATTTTAATAGCAGTGCGCAATAAAGGATTTAAACTTTCCATTGCTGCCCTATGTTTTCCTCTGATGAATACCTCCCCGTGCTGCATTGGTTGCAGGCTACTAATATTTGGAACCTTTAAAGTTTCAGCAGTCTACCTACTCCCTGAGTTTACTGGTTGTTTATTTTACAAATCTTGTCTTACAGATTTACACTATATTATATTCTTTTGGTTTTCCCTCTTTATGTATATATATATATAATCATTGTGGCTGCCATATCAACTAATGTGGTTGTTCATTTGTTTTTGGTCACATTAAAGGACCACTATAGTACCAGGAAAACATACTCGTTTTCCTGGCACTATAGTGCCCTGAGGGTGCCCCCACCCTCAGGGACCCCCTCCCGCCCGGCTCTGGGAGGGGGAAAGGGGTTTAAAGTTACCTTTTTCCAGCGCTGGGCGGGGAGCTCTCCTCATTCTCTCCTTCTCCGTTCCTCCTCCTGGGCTGAATGCGCACGCGCGGCAAGAGCTGCGCGTGCATTCAGCCGGTCGCATAGGAAAGCATTTACAATGCTTTCCTATGGACGCTTGCGTGCTCTCACTGTGAAAATCACAGTGAGAAGATAAGTTCTAGTGGCTGTCAATGAGACAGCCACTAGAGGATTAGGGGAAGGCTTAACCCATTGATAAACATAGCAGTTTCTCTGAAACTGCTATGTTTATAAAAAAAATGGGTTAACCCTAGCTGGACCTGGCACCCAGACCACTTCATTAAGCTGAAGTGGTCTGGGTGCCTAGAGTGGTCCTTTAAGTATTTTTCTTTAAAGGGCACAGTATATTTTATATGTATATAATGTGTTTTGCTAAATAGTGCTATTTTGTATTATTGATTACTGATTATTTCTGGCTTGATCACAAACATATAGAGTGGACTTTTAAAGACACAACACACCTTATTTGTGGAGTATTTATTCTGAGTGTTTTGCACAAATGTACTTGGTAAGTTACTGATATCTTGATATTAATTGTGTATGTAATTATTCTTTTATCTGCACTTTATCACTTTGACACATATAATATGTATGGATGCACGTAAACAGAAAAGGTGAAATTGTGGTAGAATAAATGCATGACAAAAGTGCCAAAATGCCGTGGTCACAAACTCACTGCACCTTAAAAGAGCCTTGGTCCTTAAGTGGCTAATGTTGTTACTTATTTTATCATATGGCCAAATGTTCAGTTTCTCTACCTGGAATCCCATCACTGTAGGGATTCTTGGACAGTTTACTATGTCACAGTTAACTTGAGTCTCATTTATTATGCTGTAACACTTTGAAAATTAATAATCGGGGTGAGGCCTGACTGCCAATCAAGCAAGACGCAGTTTGGAGGAGTTCCTCTGATTTTATGAAAAATTAAGCCTAAATTACTACCTACTTGACCTTTAGTCATCTGGGAAATATCCCAATATTATTTTGGAATGAGCTTTCTTTTTAATTATAACATATCTTATAATATTAACATAGTTTCATTTTATTTGCTAGGTTGTCTAGTAGACCTATAAATGTTGATGAATACAGAAAAAGGAAAGGACTTCTTCAAAAAGAGGAGATTCTTTTGGGCTAACTTCCAAATGACAAGGTACTGTAATCTATAATGTGTTGTACAATTACCTCACAATGTGCTCTCTCTTCCATAAACATGGAATGCCCTCTCTTGATGTCCTGGTCCACCCCTCTGCATCCAGTTTACCATAATTTCCAGCAGTTTTCAACACTGACAATGCTGAACTATAAACACTTTGTCTCCCCTTCCAACCTTCCAACCTTCATTTATCATCTCAGTCAGTGCTCCACCTCCCTTTAAACTAGCAAATGTTCTCACAACAAATCATTAATGACCTTACTCTCCTCTAACCCACTACACCATAGTGTGAAAAAAAATTCTCCAATAATCTCCCCCCTTATCCGATAACTTCATTAGAACTTGTGTTGCATTTCTCAAGCAAAATAAAAAAACAGGATCCACCTCTAACTCATATCTCCTCCACCAATTCTAACCCCCAGTCTTTTTTTCTTGTCATCATTTCTGACAACAATCTCCTCCTCATCATCGAGCAGTTCTACCCTACCACCTCACACTTGCTCTTGGCTCCCCTCTTCCAAGTCATTCTATTCAACATAACATCAATTTATACTCAATCTCACACTTCTGGATTCTATTTTAGTGCACTCAAAATCTCATCGCATCTCTCTACTTCTTAAAACAGCTTTGACCCAGCTCCTGTTGCCCTTTTCCTTGCTTCTGGAATGTTGTCTACACTTAACTATCCACTTTCATCTGCTCATATTAAATCTTCCCAGGCCTTCTTCCTTGAAACAGTTCTCATTTCTATCCATAACTGTCACCGAAGCACAACAATCTAAACGCTTTTCCATCTTAACCCTTCTTTATTCATCTGCTGCCTTTAACACTGTTGATCATCCAACTTTTCTTCTCACTTTCCCAACCTTGGTATCACTGGTACTGCCCTCAAGTGGCTCCTTCCTACCACTCTCATTGATCCTATCAAGTTTCCTGCAACTATGTGTCCACTCAACCAATATCTCTTCCAGTTAATGTACTGCAAGGTTCCGGAGCTAGTGTGCGGCGGGGGTGGAGCTAGGGGCAGAGCTAGCGTGGGGCGGGGCTTAGCATGCAGCGGGGGCCTAGCTAACTGCAGCATGGGAAGCAGGAAGGAGTCCCTGCTTCCCCAACAACCAGCCTCCAGGAGCTCCAAGCAGGAGGTAAGAAGCAGGTCAGTGTGTCTGTGTGTGTCTATCTGTGTGTCTGTCTGTGTGTGTGTGACTGTCTGTGTGTGTGTCTGCCTGTGTGACTGTGTGTGTGTGACTGTCTGCCTGTGTGTGTGTGTGGCTTTCTGCCTGTGTGTGTGTGTGACAGTCTGCCTGTGTGTTTGACTGCGTGTGTGTGTCTGTCTGCCTGTCTCTGTATGTGTGGATGTTTGCCTCGGTGTCAGTGACTGTAGCACAATGACTTATGGGGCTGGCATCGATTTTTTTCCAGGGCTGCTTCGTATCCCCAGTCCGGCCCTGTATCAGACTGATCAATTCTCTCCTCCGCTGGACACTTCTCTTCACCACCACCTTCCATTGTCTGCAAGTCAACTTAAAGGGATTCTCCAGTGCCAAGAAAAAAAATCAGTTTTCCTGGCACTGCAGAATCCTGGAGTTCCCCCCTCTCCCACCCCCATCCGATGTTGCTGAAGGGATTAAAACCCCTTCAGCCACTTACCTGAATCCAGCACTGATGTCCCTCGGTGCTGGGTCAGGCTCCGCCCACACTCCTCCCCCGCAGGTGAGGGGAACATAAAGCACATGCGCAGCAATGGCCGGGGCACGCATTAGACCACCCCATAGGAAAGCATTATTCAAGGCTTACCTATGGGGAAAATCTGATGCTGAAACTCCGTGTGGACGTCCAGCGTCAGATAACGGAACAAAAGTCAGTTTGGATTCCGGAAGCGCTCCCAGTGCTACAATGTTTTACATTGCAGCACTAAGTGCAAAAGGGTCACAGCACCCAGACTACTTCCATTAGCCAAAGTAGTCTGGGTGCTTACCGTGTCCCTTTAAGCAATGCTTCCTATCACCCTGCCTTTTTTGCATCTTTCCTAAACTTTTGTTGTACAACATTGTTTTTTTTCAACCTTCTTAATGTGTACAGTATACAGATTGTAAAGCAGTAGTCCATATAGTAGCAAAATTTTGGCTACATTTCGGTTATCTTCACAATTGTATTTTTGCATTCCATGTTTTAGTGTTTTTTTTTTTTATATATATTATATACATATTTTGGTGCTACAATCTCTTGTACCGATACCTGTTTTTTTTTTTTTATTTCTTCTTCTCTTTGCAAGAATAAAAAATAACCATTTAATTATTTCTACCTTTAAAAAGCTAAAAAAATGTATCTTCTTCTAGGTCCAACTTTGTATGCTCCTTGAGATTCTTTGCGACAGGCTTTACATTTGGAGGACATGTCCCAAAATGAATCATAAATGATTAAAGATGTAAATAAATTTTAAAAAAACAACCAGGTGCCTGAAAAGTCACTATTTAAAACAAACAAAACTCTTGCAACATGGTCTTTAAGGTGGCAACACGTCAGGAATCAAACCTTCATCGAACTCTAAAGTGCAATCATCTTGCAGTGGCTGAGCTGGATTTCATGGGTCATGAGATTGAGTTTTCTCTGAGAGACGTTTGTTTATTCTTTATTAGCTCTGGATGAACATGGTACACAGGAACTCTGAGCGAACATGGCTGACATCCATATCTATTAGCTAATGTGGCGTGAATCAAAGCTATGTCATTCAGTCTACACAGGTTGGTATACACTGAACTCTTCCAGAAGTCTTAAAATATCTGTGACTTCATGCTTTAGCTTGAAAATAATACTAACCACATTAAGTATTAGCCGCTGAACCTTTCATTGGATAATTAACTCTATATTACTCTTCAGGCCTAGAAGCACTGGCTTATCTTGTTCAGGAGAACTACACATTTCTTCCTCATCCAAAGCTGGTGGGCTAAATAAGTTATGTAGAAGATAAATGGATTCAATAAAAAAAAAAAATATATATTTTTTTAAACTCAGTGATAAGTAATTCACTTTTGCTGACTTTCGTTCTGAGAACCCCTTCATCTTCAGTGTCTGTAATGTGCTAGATTCCATGCTTTCATATGTTGTAATTGCCTTTCCTACTTTTATAGATTGCTGCATCTATGTCTTTTATATATCTTTTAAAGTCTTGAAGAGTATATATTCTGATTTTAATGCCGAATGCACACATATTCTGCACCATGAATGCCAACATTCTTGATGGATCTGACACTATGATATGCATTTTTAACAATAAACACATTTATTAATCTTCCAGTCAAAGTTGAAGTTCTTTGTTATTCAGCAACAAAAAAAAATATCTGGTTCAAATACATTATCTAGTTAAAACACAGTTTTCCAATAAACAAATAGAAATTGTTAGAAGATTACCAGAAATAACCTTAGTTAAGTTTAAATAAGGAAATCCGCTCCCAGACTTGATCATTGCTATGTATCCTTACAGTGTTTGGAAATGTTTGGTATACCTTCATAATCTTTCCAAACTTAGCATTTTCAGGGTAGAGCCACCGCGAAGGCTTTTGTGAAAAAAACATCCATGCCTATTAAAGTAATATTATAACAGAGGATTTGACGACAAAATTTTGTATGGTATCCCTTTCCAATGTGATTCCTTAAAGGAACATTATAGCGTTGGGAGCATTGGGTTGGACTATCATGGAGATTTGTAATACTCAGAGGAGCACATTCAAGATTCCCTGTAGGAATGCACGGAGTCAACACTTTGATATCGGTGTCTTCTGTGTCACATGCCAGAGTTTTACTTTGTCAGTGCAGCAGAAGCACCTCTGTGGCAGAGAATGGCAGCTGAATGCTTTCAGCCTATAAAAGCACCCATTACTCCCATGGTCTAGTAAAACCAGAAGAAGGTGCAGAAGATTGCTACTAAAAACTTGCAGAATAATTGTAATTGGTTAACTCAAGACAAGGTGCTGCAGCAACTAAAGAAAGTTTTATATAAACAAAGCTCCAGGGCCTGACGGTATCCATCCACGTGTACTTGAACTAAGTGTAGAAATAAGTGAACCTCTGTTTTTATTCTTTCAAGATTCTTTTCTTTCAGGAAGTGTTCCGGAGGATTGGAGGAATGCAGATGTGGTTCCTATATTCAAAAAGGGTTCAAAATCCTTGCCTGGAAATTATAGACCTGTGAGCTTAACTTCTGTGGCTGGTAAAATATTTGAAAGGTTATTAAGGGATAATATTCAAGAATTCCTTGAGAAGAACATGGTTATCAGCAAAAATCAGCACGGTTTTATGAAGCACAGGTCATGTCAAACTAACTTGATTGCATTCTACGAATAAGTAAGTAGAAGTATAGATCAGGGTGTTGCCATGGATGTGATCTATTTGGATTTTGCCAAGGCATTTGATACAGTTCCACACAATAGATTAGTGTTCGGAAATCGGTCTAGATGAAAATGCTTGTTCTTGGGTAGAACATTGGCTTAAAAACAGAGTACAAAGAGTTGTCATTAATGGTAAATTTTCAAGCTGGACAGAGGTGGCAAGTGGTGTCCCTCAGGGGTCTGTTCTGGGACCCCTTCTATTTAACATGTTTATAAATGATCTTGAAGACAGCATTGAAAGTCATGTTTCAGTGTTTGCAGATGACACCAAACTTTGTAAAATAATACAATGTGAGCAAGATATTACTTTGCTGCAGAGGGATTTAGATAGACTGGGGGACTGGGCACTCAAACGGCAGATGAAATTTAATGTTGAAAAATGCAAAGTTATGCTTCGGCGTAAAGAATACACAAGCAACGTATACCCTTAATGGAAGCGAATTAGGGATAACAACACACGAAAAGGACTTGGGAATTGTTATAGACAACAAACTATGCAACAATGTGCAATGTCAATCAGCAGTGGCCAAGGCCAGTAAGGTATTGTCATGCATGAAAAAGGGCATTCATTCTCGGGACAAGAATATCATTTTGCCTCTTTATAAATCACTGGTAAGACCCCATATTGAATATGCTGTGCAATTTTGGGCACCTGTTCTAAAGAAGGATATTATGGCACTAGAAAAAGTGCAGAGGCGGGCTACAAAATTAATAAAAGGAATGGAACATATCAGCTATGAAGAAAGGTTAACAAATTTAAACCTATTTAGTTTAGAAAAACGTCGCCTGAGAGGGGATATGATAACATTATACAAATATATTCGGGGCCAATACAAACCATTGTGTGGAAATCTATTCACAAACCGGACTTTACATAGGACACGAGGCCATGCGTTTAGACTGGAAGAAAGATTTCGTCTAAGGCAAAGGAAAGGTTTTTTTACTGTAAGAACAATCAGGATGTGGAATTCTCTGCCTGAAGAAGTGGTTTTATCAGAGTCCATACTGATGTTCAAACGGCTACTAGATGCCTACTTGCAAAAACAGAACATTCAAGGATATAATCTTTCAATGTAGGGTAATAACTGCTTGATCCAAGGATAAATCTGACTGCCATTCTGGGGTCAGGAAGGACATTTTTCCTAGCTTGTTGCAAAATTGTGCTTCAAACTGGGTTTTTTTGCCTTCTTTTGGATCAACAGCAAAAAAACAAATGTGAGGTAGGCTGAACTTGATGGACGCAAGTCTCTTTTCAGCTATGCAACTATGTAACTATATACTTGCCTTAGCAGTACCTCAAGTTGGAGCAGCACTGTGGGTGGCCAGGAACATATGGAGTGTGCATACTGCACACACAGTTTTGACTGATTGATCTATTCTCTGTAGGGACAGCCAATGCGGTGCACATGCTCGATCAGCTGATTTGCAAGTCACTGCACATAGCTGTGACCATTGTGGGAGGAGTGTGAATGTGCAGTGTTTCTGCTTGAAATGCTGCACATACGGAGATATTTGCACTTTTGTTCCTGGGGCTAGTTGCACCTCCTGCACACGTAACTTAGGCAACCTAATATCAATTCTGTGCAAAATATTATCTGTCGCGTGCTTGCACTGCACACTGCTGACAGACATTATTAGCTTCTAGCCTTGCAAGCAGTGCCTGCAAAAGGAAGCTTGAATGTGCATCTCCCTTATTTTAGTCCTCCCTGCAATATTTCATGTTTTTTTCCCCTCACTCCCTCCCGCCCCAGAGAGTGGATGCACTCTGCGCTGGTAAAAATGATCTGCTAATTAAGTGATCCAGCACAGGGAGGTTTGCTAGGGGCTGCATTCCAGGCAAGTTTATAACTTATTTTATAGAATTGTAACATTTAATGACAAAGGGTAATTAACCCTTTGAATATCCTGAAACTGTACAGCTTTAACCCCTTAAGGACCAAACTTCTGGAATTAAAGGGAATCATGACATGTCAGACATGTCATGTGTCCTTAAGGGGTTAAAGGGTATGTTTTTAATTTTTTGTCTTTGTTTTGAAACAATTGGTTCCAAGAATTGTGTGTCATAGAGAATATCATTGATTCAGAGGGTTATTTACTGAACGAGGACCTGTTGTTAAAGGGACACTCCAGGCAGACCACTTCTGCCCATTGGCGTGGTCTGGGTGCCAACTTACACCACCCTTAACCCTGTGTAATTATTGAATTTTTATTATAAACTGCAATAATTACCTTGCAGGGTTACGTCCTCCTCTAGTGGCTGTCTATCAGTCAGCCAATAGAGGGACTTCCTGCTTCTTAAAACACGAAAAGTGTTTTAAACAACGCTGGATGTACTCACGCTTTGCACGAGGACCTCCAACGTTGCCGGAATCCCCGTAAGAAAAGCATTGAATAATGATTTCCTAGGAGGAGGATAATGCGCTCCAGAACCCCAAGATGAAATTATTTTCCCATATTATGTGCTTTGTTGTCAAATATTTTGTAAAAGACATGATATTTTTAGGTTAGCGTTAAAGTAGTGTAAGGGTTAACGGTTATTAACACCTTCTCTAACCTAACAATGTATACGCATTATATATTTTTTTCCTAACATGATGATGATAACCACAACATGGTTTACCTAGAACAGGGGTGCTCAGCCTATATCCCGCAAGCTGCTTTTTGCCAGCTAGACCCTTCAATGTGACGTGTGGACATTTCTTCTCATTTGAATAAATTACATTTGAAGGCTCAGTCAAAAGATCAACTGGTGCATATCCTGTGTTCACATCAAAGCTTTTCCAGTGAAATTAGAACTCCTCAAGAACAGAATTTAACTCTTTTCCAAAGCATGTTGAAATTGCAGTCATACACTCCTTAATGTGGCTGCAATATTTCAGTTCCAAGATTTCATGAGTGACAGAGTTCCAAGAGAGATTCCAAGAAAAGACCCCGAACTGGTAACCAACCACTTCACTGTGAATGTAATGGAGACTTCAGGGGACCTCCAAATGAAAGTCAGTGTGGTTTAGAATAGAAGATCAAATTTAATTAAGTGTCTCTATTATAATTTTACCAAAAATAAATGTCAATTTAAAGGGACATTTTGGGCACTATAGCCATTTCATTTCATTGAATTGGTTAGAGTACCTGGAACCGTCTGGCACTGTCCCTTTGTTTATGTTAAACCATTTTCAAGCTCTATAACTCTGAATGAGGATCCCTGGCCACCCACAGTCTGCCCCAACTAGAGCTATGGAAAAGAAGAGATTACACACTTACTTGTAGCCATATAAATTCATTACCAGCAATGGGCGGTGTTACAGACTGAAAGCAGTCAGCGGATACTCTTAGCTAATCAAAGCTGCTCAGGCTAATTAGTCCAAGCAGCAAAGAGGGGATGGGCTGCTGAGCAGTCTGATTTAGCAATAAAACATGAACAGCGCAAGTGGGCACGATACTATAACCACTTACAGATAGGTGTAGGTACAATGCCCACAGTGTCCCTTTAGGAATGCGGGTAGCAAGAATCTTCACCATCTTTGGTAGCACGTACATATGTGATAAGATGATTTCCAGAATAAAGCACTCCCAAATCAAAATTAAGGACAAATATTACTGGGTGTCATCTGGAGCACAGCTACCACAAAAATACTTTGACTTTAAATTATTGGAAGGAAAAAAAAAAAGGAGTCAGTGTTCTCAGTAAGTGAATATTTCATTCCTATTGTATATGAGTTGTCTATTGCGTGGCCTGCGACGTGTACCAAATTTTGAAAAGAGCTCTCGACCTAGAAGATAAAAATAATAATGACTTGTTAATTTTCTGTAGCAGTATATTACATATTATTGACCAAATGTTATTGCTACAACTTAAAGGATTACTCCAACAACTTTAATAAAGCAATGGTTTTTGGTTTTCAATTTAAAATTCACTATTTCACATTAGTACCATGGTCCCCACCCCCTGTATTTCCTAAAAAAAAGTTTCCTAAATACATAACCAACATACATGGAATCCATCGCTAAACAAAGTTCTCCTCATTTGCCTTACACATCCTGTCAGATGTCACTGAAAAACGCATCTCATAGACCGATCTCCAGGCTCCAAGCACATGCATGCGCTCTAAGCCAAGGACAGGAGGGAGATTGGCAGCGTGGGGTGGATGGGGAAGGGGAAATAGAGGGTGGGAATATATATATATATATATATATATATATTATATATATATATATATATATATATATATAAAAATAAATACACAACTCTATTTTATTTAATTTTCCCTAAAATGAAGATTGATATTAGGCTTACCAACTGAAATTAAAACGTGTTTATTCATTCACAATCCATCATGCAAAATAATCCCACAGAAGGGCATGATGGACAGGAGAACAAAAATGGTGGCTAATGAGATCCAAGGCAAGGGAGGAAAAGGTTATAAATATATAGGCAAGTGACGAGTATAATCATTAAGATACAAGGGTCATAAGAAAAAGAAATCTAAACTGGATGATGAAGAAAAACAAAAAAACAGCAGCACCACTTTAAGTATGCAATAAAGCCTTGAGTACAAGTATAATGTATACTCTGCAGGATTCTTCATTGTCTAATTAATTACTTAATCTTATACACCTTTTTCTGAATTCTACATTCTACAGGGATACCCATTTCATGTTCTGCCCATCAATAAGTGTACATGACAGGTGTCCCTGAAATATGGTGGATATAGTAACCCTAGCTATAAACACAATTTAGTTTTTTTAGCAGCTCTACCATACCCAATTACTGGTTTGAAAATTGTAGATTATGCAAACGTAGTGTACCTATAAACTTAATTTTAGTAAGGACAGGAGGCAATAAAATTTGCATAAAACTTTATTTACTAAAACTCCAGCAGCACAGATCAAAAGTTAAATCAATCAGAATCAAGAATCATTTCTACATATAGTTCTGTGGCGCTTGCCTCTTCCTCTTTCTTTGAAGTGAACAAGTCCAACAGTGATAACTCAAATAACGATGTGGATCCAATGTAACCCAAAGGACATCTTGAACAGCAAGGATGTGATGGCCAGATCCAATGTATATTGCCAATTTTCACACTGAAAAGAACAGAAAAAAGTGAAAGGCAGCAAAATGATCGTAGTTCATCAATAATATTATTGAGTATAAAATAACGTATACCAGAAATGGTATAGTAATATCAATTAGCTAGGAAAATTAGCAGAAGCAGCGGTAGGGCATGTGAACAAACAGAAAATTAGATAAAACCAGTAGAGGGAGAGGAAGATGGAGGGAAATATTCGCCTCCTGTCATTACTAAAATTAAGAATATAGGTACACTATGTTAATAGCATAATCTACAATTTTCCACATGACAGGAGGCTTCATATTTGCATTTTTAATGCTATGAAAAAAGAGCAAAAGAAGCATGAGAAGCAGGACGGAAATAGAAAATACAAAAATTATCTTCGCGAGAATAGTCAGCAGAATGCATAATGTCCGCCAGCGAAGCACCCGACAAACGCCCGCCAGGGATAACAGTAATTGTCCCAAAGGGGGAACAACGAAGTGAAGCAGTAACTTCGACACAGTGAAGGAGAGTTTTAACCACGCAAAGACAGGGAGCAGAAGAAAAAAATAAAAAAAACCACGAGGAAGATTTTGTTTACATACACGAAACCGAAAAAAAGACACCCTGTGGTGAAAAAGATAATCCGTCCACGTCGAACACACAATATCCTACGGAAGGAAACCAGACATAGCAGCAAAGTAAGCTTTGCAGACAGCTGACACAAAGATAGCAATGCGTTGTCGGCAAAATCTGAAGGAAATTCAAAACCAATTCGACGTCCCAGAGACGTGAATACTTCAGACCAGGGGGATGAGAAACGCATAACTCTCATGAGGCGGAAAACCAACAGGTCCTGTCCAATCAAACGTCCTTGGATAGGGACGTGGGCTGCCGATATCGCCGGCCGAGGAAATTCAATACGAAGAAGACAGGGGCTGTACAGGGATCTTAATCACTCTCCATAAACCAGCTAGACCATATTGCAGGCTGCCAGGTATCATCGTCTAGTGCCTGAAGCCCAGTAATCCCATAGCTTGTCCTTAGTCGTCTGCAGTAGTCCATCAACATCCCAAGATCCCCGGCAATCACCCAGGCCACGAGATGGAGCCGGTCTTGCAGAATGAGTGGGTGCGTCTCCCCTTGCAGGTTGGCTAAGAGGAGCGGGAAGTACAGTAAAATCAGAGGATAATCCGATATAGAGTTCCGATATGCGACGGACCGCCTTGCACCCCGACCGGATACTTCCGTTAATTGCTGCTTTCTAGTACTGGCGAGTACCACAAGCACTGCACTGGAACACCATAACCACCGTAAACCCCACGAACCACCGCAGTTTGGTTGGGGTCTCGCCATCCTCCACCCTCCCTGGACCCAAGACCATGATCCAGCTTCCAGTGGGTAGGCCTCTCTTAGTGCCAAGAGCATAGCAGGAACAAGAACTCAAGGGAGTATTGTGATATAGCAATCCCCAGAGTGTAGTTCTCCAATCCCCCAAACATGAGCCAAGACTTCATGAAGGTGCAAGATGATCTGAGCTTTAATGGTTCACGTTGGCTTTTATACAGTTCTTCAGGTCAGAGGAACACCCCCTGGACCTGATGGGGCACAGGAACACAAAGGACACAAACCAATCAGAACAAACATACAGTCTGTGACACTCCCATGTTCAGCACATGCTTGGGAGATAATTGAGTAAAGTCCTGTAAGTAACTCAATTATCTCCAGGCAGAAAAAAAAACAAAAAACACATTTTTACAAAGTTTAGAAAGTACCCCAAATCACACAATACCCCCATGTTACATCCCCGGATAGCCCTGATCTAGGTAAACAACATATCCAAAAATCACCCAGTATAGAGCAGGGGTTCAAAAGTTTAATGGAAGTCTCTTTTTGACCGGTTGCAAGCATGGCTTCATGCCCAAAATAGTTCCAGAGAATTAGGCTGTGCGGCCTGTCCAATGATTAAAGTGCACTTCAAATAGTTGAACAGGACCGTTCGTGCACAAAGTCAGTGTTGAAATGTGTTTGGTAGATTATTTCTACCAAACAGCGCTCTGTTCGTGCATATTTAGCCGAACCTAGATGGAGGTGGAAGTCCCAGCGGTGTTCGTGCCATCGAGTGTCCGATTTCAGTTCCATGAACTTGACACAGAGACAAGACACAGCTGACCGCGTTCGATTAAACAAGATGGCCGCCACCACGTGTTCGACTATACGAACGGCAACCACCCAGCCGTTCGTTAATTAAGCTGCGGTTAACCACAGCTTCTGGGAGGTTAACAGGCTGCACACTCCACTTGCGGGTGATTCGGCTGTTCAACAGTTTTTTCGGTAAACAAACACCCTAAGCCTAATCCATTCGGTAAGGCCCATAGCACGGAAAAAGGCACGAACAGGGTTTTTAGTCCAAAAGTTCACAACAGGGCAAGAGGCTGGCAAGCAGGCCTCTACAAATCCCAGTGATTAAGGTGCTTTCGTCACACAATAGGTCCGGGAACCAGGCCTGGCTCGGCCAGAGCGGCGTGATCAGCAGGAGCGATGTTTGGTGTCCCCTTGGTTCATCCCCTTCTGGAGAAAAACATCCACTGCCTCGCATTGCGGCTCCGGTAGCCAGCTGAAGAATCTGGGAAGCTGGAGGTTCGTCCGTGAAGCAAAGAGGTACCCCTGTGCAGTGCCAATGTCTCGAAGACCTCGACATCCAGTCGCCAATCGCTGATGTACCAATCCGACGTGAGATTGGAGGTCCATGGAAGGTTTTCCGCTCTTAAGGTGATATTCCTGGAGAGGCGAAATGTGTAAATGTCTTTGGTTGCCTCTGAGAGTGCCTGAGATCGAGCTCCGCCCAGGCGGTTGAAATACTGCACCGCTGAAATGTTGCCCATGCAAAGTAGTATACAACAATCCGACATGTGCTTGGCCAAGTTGTGGATAGCAAAGGAGCCCGCTATCAGTTCCAAGCAGTTGATGTGCATGTCTGACTCCTCGTGTAGCCATGGGCCCCCTGTGTAGGAGTCTGTGCAGTGTGCTCCACAGCCCCAAAGGCTGGCATCCGATTCCACCACGAAATCTGGTGAAGGACCAAAAATGGCTTTCCCATTCCAGGCTTGTATATGGAGGAGCCACCAACAGAGTTCCGTTCTCACCTCTGCGTTGATCGGTATCAGCTGATCATATGAATAACCTGCTCGTAAAAAGTGAGCCTTCAGTCGTTGCATGGCTCTGTAGTGGAGGGGACCCAGGTATATTGCCTGACTGAAAGCGGACAGTAGACCCACTACTCGGGCCAGAAGTCGAAATGGGATGAGTTCTAGTAGCAGGATTTTCCAAATTTCCTTTCGGGTGGAAGCAATCTTCGACAAAGGAAGACATAGTAGGCATGTCATGGAGATGGTCTCTAAACCCCAGGAACTGAACAACTAGAGCCGGTTTGAGAGCAGACTTCTCCCGATTCA